AGTCTTCGATTTTGCCAATGGCTTTAAGTATGTACCAAGACACCAACTTACAAAGAACCAATAACTACTAAGTGTTGCTAAGGTAGAGGAACAGATCAGTGGGTCATCACCAAATCAATAGGTGACCCAACAATAACCAACATGAAATTAGTTTCATTTTTGAAACATTTTAAAAAAGGTATAACATGGTTTCATTAATGACATTTGTTTTACAAATGAAAACAAAACAATATATGAAACTGTTTCATTGTTTCTTGAATGAATTTATGATACTCATTGTCACCCTGAATGAAAGATGAACCATTTGACATGGTGTTGTGAAACATATATGAAACTATTTCATTTATAGTTATTGAAACATGATTAGACTGTTAATTATTTGTAATCAAACTGATTTTTGGAGTATAGTTTTACAATTCATATTTTAGGAGTACAATTTAATAAAAGAATATAAATTATTAATGGTAATAATTATATATTAAAATAAATTGATTTATGGCTTCCATAAAAACAGTTACTATATTTAATTTTCCATATTTAAAAACAATTAAAACATTATCAAGATTAACCATTACAAATTAAAATGACATTCATACCCTTATTCATTAAAAATAAAGAATAAAACATGAAATTTTCATAGTAATTGAAATTGGTTTATATAGTTTGCATGAAATAAGAGGTTTGCAATCTAACCCCCCCCCCCCTCTCTCTCTCTCTCTCTCTCTATATATATATATATATATATATATATATATATATATATATGCTAAAGGTTATTTTTAGAAATAGTAAGTATTTGAGAAGTAAAAAATTAATTTTAGTATTTCATATGATCAAGATTGGATTTGACTGGTAATGATTGTGACTTTGACTAGCTAATAATTACGGCTTTAACCGATTAATAAAGAGAGTAGTTTCGTAACTTTTACAAATACGCGGCAAATGGGTTGATATATGAACTATATATGTGTGTGTGTGTGTGTGTGTGAATTTGTGTAATTCATATATTAACCTCATGTGATTCATATATAAACTAATTAACTGATATACATATGAACTAATTAATTGATACACATATGAACATGTGGGTTCATGTTTGAATCAGTTAAATAGTTCAAATGTGAACTAATTGACGGTTCATATGTGTATCATATGAGTTTACATTTTGTCGTCTATTTCTAAAAATTATGAAACTCCATTTATCTTCTACATATGCATGCAATGAATTATCCGGTGCTTCACGGTCAAAATTGCAAATGTTTACAAGATAAAATCACTTTTTTACTTCTCAAATATTTACAACTTCTGAAATGAACATTTTCATATATATATATATATATATATATATACATGTGTGTGTCTTCATATACAAATCATCCGAAGGTTACAAACTTACAACCAATGGTATTGTTTTCAAATTCATATTTTTAGGAATAATTAACTTATTTATATAATAAACCATATTTATCCTAAAAAAATCTTACTTCCTTAAATATCTCATTCGGTTACCATATGTAACCGAATCCTCACCCTCTTTTCAACCATTTTGTTTCTTATATGAAACCGAACAAATTATTGCATCTCATATGAAATAATAACAGTTTTTGTTACCCTAGTTTCATACCAATATTATTTTACTTATGAAACAACATATTTCAAAATAATAATTCAATAGAAAATACATAAATTTTTCTCAAATACATAATTTGGTTTCAAGAAAAGACCTGATTACTTTTATCCCATTCAATGTATCCTTTACCTAGATGTGGAAACCTCAACTTCCAATCCTCCATGTACATGAGAAATTCACCTCATACAGTTCCCGTTCAATTCTTTAGAAGTTATTGGATCCTTTTTTGCGGTCAAAAATCCCCTCTCCCACTTCGTCCCGAAGACTAACTAGGACCAATTGATACAAATCAACCCCTTTTTTTGCGCCACAATCTCACCATTTCCGAAGGAACTGGAGTTCCATCTCTTTTTTATTTTCATCCAAGAGTTCTTATGTGTTTTCACGCTCCTTAGAGACCCCCCCGCTCCCACTCGCATGTTGTTGTTTTTATGAAAACCACAAAGACGAAATCTAAAGACAAATACGAAAACCAAAGAAAAAAACCATAGATGAAGGAAAGTCGTGAGATAAGAGAAAGACAGTGATGGAGATAATTTAGAAAATTATGAAGATAATTGTGATTATTTAATAAGCTTTAAATTTAATGAGAATTCTAATTATTTGATAAAATTTAAGTTTAAAATGTTTAAAATTTATTCAAAAACTACATTTTCCTTAATTTTTTAATCAATGCGAATTAGAAAAATTTCTCAACCATCGATAAAAAAAAAGGACGGCCTAAATCAGTTTGTAAGGCTTGTAGCATTCAAATGGTTTGCAAAGAATTACCCTCTCTATATAAGTTTAATTATTTGAGAACTTCATAATCAATGAGATTCGTGAGATCTATCTTAAGCCACAAATTTAATATAATTAATGTATTTTTAAGAGGAAAAAAAATCAAATTCCATATATATATATATATATATATACATACATTTCCTCTGTTTTTGTTAAAATACACGCACACATATACATAATTTTTACATAAGTTGCAGAGATATCACTTGCGAAGGGGGGCCGAAAATGTAATTTTTTTAAATTCTTGATAGGTCTAAAAGTCACGGATGTATCACTTGCAGACTCAGGTTGAAAGTCAATTTTTTTTGTCACGTAACTATCTCCACAAGTCATATATGTGCCACTTTAAATAATTTCCCTATATGATCTTGATAGTTTAATAGTTTTTATATATAATTATTAACTTTAGAAAAATTAAATGTAACCCATAAAATAAGTTTTTATAAAAATTATCATTATATAAGGTTTTATATAGTTTTAATTTAGTAAATTAAGAAACTGATATGACAAAAAAAAAATATCTATACTATATTATAATGTATTTGAAAAAACTTTTAAAAAATCATTTTTTATGCATTGAGTACTGTTTACGGATGCATATTACTTAAAATTTAAAATTACAAGTAAATTGTGCGTATGTACAACTTATTAAAGCTCCATGTCTAAATTCGTGTAACTAACTGCATATAAACATAATCAAATACCGGATAGAAATCTCAATTTAAATATAAAAAATCTAAAATATATTTAGAATAATTATCGAATTTTAACAAAATACTAATTATTATCTTTATAAAAAAAACTATAGTATTAAACCAAAAATAAATACTTCATTGTTAAATCTAAATTAAATTATAATAAAAAATTGAATTAAAGAAATTACATCAAAAAAACAAAAACTTTTAAATATTTAATTTAATACTAAAACCAATATATTTTTAAAGTTTTTTTTTATTATACTTTCAAATATATGTTTTATTCAAAAAATAAAATATTATCATTTTCTCAGTACCATATAAAATTGTATTATAACATCGACGAAGATGAAATAAAACAAACATTAAAATCGAGATGTATGTCGCTGCATTATGGGAGTATCATTCTAGTAAAAACAAAAAGATTCTTATAAGAAACAAAATGCTATAACATAATCATCGGAGATTCTTAGGTCCTCGTTTGGTTTGTAGGAATAGAATGAATTTGACGGGATTTGACTTCAAATCCATTTCAATCCCATGTTTGATTTGTTAGATTGTTTGGATTTGAAATCCTTTGATTTAATTGAATTAAGTTACTTCGTTACGATAAATTAAATTATAATAATAAATTTAAATTAAAAAATACACAAATAAAAAATTTTAAATAGTTAATTTGATACTAATATTGATATATTTTTTTTACAAATATTGTATAATATTTTTAAATTTATATTTTATTTAAAAATAAAAGCATTAACGCTTTTTCAAAACCATATAAAATTGTATTATATCGACATAAATAAAAATTAAAACGAAACATTGAAATCGAAATACATATCGATACATTGCACGAGTACCTTTTTAGTTATATAAAAATAAAAAAATTAATCGACTAAAGTCATTGGTCCAAAATCGTACTCAATGAATAATCGAGGATGAGTTTTGTAATTTATTGGATTTGTTGTAAAACGATGGTCCGCATCATAAGAAACCAACACCCGCATGCATCGGATAAAAAATAGAAGCCCGTATAAATAGTCATTGTTATTGCCTCAAGGAAGCTTCCTGGAAGCTCACTTTCACTCCTCCATTTAACCACCCCACCTTCCTCTCTCCTTCTGCTCATCCACTTCTTTCTCTCTCTAAATCTTCGACATTCCTTCCACCACCGTTGCAGCCATGAAAATAGCCGCTAAAATCAACCCTAAGAACCTCTTCCGATCAAAGAAAAGCCGCTCGGTTTCCCGATCCAATCCGTCTTCTTTCGGCTCTTACGCTACGACGTCGTCTAGCTCACCGGAGCACAGCCATCGCCACCACCAGTTCAAATCAACAGGTGTTGCTACACCTACCAGCGTGTTGCGTGTACACTCTCGCTCACACGAAATATCTTCCGATGAGTGGTCGGAGAATTCTACAGACGGACAGTTCGAATTGGTGCAGGCGTTCAGGTTTATTGACAGCGATGGTGACGGAAGGATAACGAGGGAGGAGCTGGAGGCGCTTTTGAACCGAATCGGAGGATCGGAGCCATCAATCCGAGAAGAGCTGAGCCTGATGCTGAGCGAAGTCGATAGAGACGGCGACGGGATCATTACTCTGGAGGAGTTCGGAGCCATAAGCTCCGCCTTCGCACCACCGGCTTGTGACACGGAGCTTAGAGACGTGTTTAAATTCTTCGACACCGATCACGACGGGAGGATCACGGCGGAGGAATTGTTTGCGGTGTTCAATTCGATAGGGGGAGGGTGTACGTTAGAAGAATGCAGGAGCATGATAAGTAGCGTGGACAAGAATGGGGATGGGTTCGTGTGCTTCGAGGACTTCTCACGTATGATGGAGCAGCAAAGATGAAAGCCTGATTTGCCATTGATTTTTCTAATATGTTTGTGGGGGTATATGAGACGAAGAAGATGATGGTGTTAATAGGTTTCCGAGTTTTCATTTCAAGGATATATACCTAAAAACGAGTGTGTGATTAGATGTTATAAATGGTTGGACAGAATCCGTGTGCTATTTGCCATGTGTCTGTTTCCAGTTGGTTCTCGTATCTGCTCTGTTTCCACAGGAAAATGACTTCGAGATATTTCAATTTTTACTATCTAAAACAAGAACCCTCCATTAATGATCATGAACTTGAAATTGAACTTAGAACACTGATGCAATTAATTCACAAAAAAGTGGAAACAAATCGAGATTAGACTAATAATAGAAGTTATTGGGTTTTCAGTTTAAATATAGGAAAAAGTTCAAAAAAGTCCATCCCATTTTAAATGATTAAATACATAAACTATTTTTTTTTTAATAAAAAACATATTTTTCATTTTGAATGATTAAGCTTTTTGATCTATTTTTTATTAAATAAAAAAGCAATTAAATTTTTTCATTTTGATTCTTTGAATATTTAAAAAAAAATTATCTACATTTTTAATCCCAAAAAAAGTAACGTTAACCAACTAATAAAAGTTTGATAATTTGTTTATTTTTAAAAAAATAGAATCTTAATAATTTAAAATGTAAAAGTTTAATAATTTTTTACTAAAAAACTAGTCCATTCAAAATCACAAACTTTGTTTGTTTGTTTTTTTTTCTTAAAAAATAAAATAGAATAAATTTTTTGCTTTAGCCCAAGACCTCCTATATGAACGCCTTAATTCTGCCAGCCAAAAACCATCGTGCCATGTCAAGTTTTACGTTAAAAACTTGGTAATATTTTCGAGCAATTTTAAAATTAAGCGGTGCACTTTTAAAACTTTTATTTTTTTTTCTTTTGCTATAATCAAATGAGCAGGTGCATGAGACCATGATCGGTCCTTAATAGGTCGGCCCATGGTAAGTGTTTAACCGTTAATCAGTTCAATTATTTTATCATGTGAATATAGCAATGATCAAGAGTCTTACCTGATAAGTGAGAGTGTTGATTCTTACACAGTAAGTGTTTACCATGTTATAAACGTTTACCATTAATCCATTTTGATTGCCGAAAATGTGATAACCTCGATTTGAGACAGCATTGGTTGAGGTAACCTTTATGTGATTATATGTGAATATGTGATAACATGCATGTTTATTTAAGTAAGTGCATGGATCATATATATGTGTGTGTGGATGAGTGCTCGTCGATTTATTCAATCTTAGATTTCAACACAAAAATAGAACTCGGCGTAAGTATACACCTTGAACTACTGTCGTCTCGTAAAAAGTAATAATTGTATAAGTATCAGATATCGTTCCCACATAGATAGCTTGTAAAGTTATTTCAAAAGTCCAGTTTATAAAAATTAATTTCAGATTGCGAATCGAGTGATTTGATTTATCTAAAATTGGGACGTTTGATTAACAACTAAGAAAAATATCAGCCTTAAGAAGAAGCACATGGTGCAACAGTTGATTAAAACATTAAACAAATGATTCAGCAAAAAATTGACATAGCATTCTTGTCACAATTATCTAAAATCAATAAATGATTTTATATAACTATGACAGTATCAACTATCGGGTCAGACGGCCTCCCAAGAGTACACACCGGTCAACGTGCTATCGATACGATATCATTTATGTTAGACGTCGTGAATCACAACACAGTGTTACCATCCTTGTTGATCCCAGATCTCTCAATAACACTAATAATCTAGTTATAAATAACCAAATTATAGTGATTTTACGAAGAAAGTTATGAAGACTCAAAAATAAAATAAGAACATTCAAGAATAGTTTTGAGCTTCAAAGGTTTTACTTTTTAAATAATGATATGAAAAACGTAAAAGAGACTTTTTCTCTATGCGCACTTTTTACAATAGACCTAATCATCTATTTATACTAGATGATTAATACTAAGATAACTATATATTGCTACTTTCTAGCAAATAGTCTAGCTAATAGATAAAGTTTATCTTTTACATGGATAAACATTATTAACAAGATAAACTAAAATTCCAGCTGTTGATTTGTTATCTTCAGCTGTCATTATCAATGTGATGAATTCATCCTTATCTTCAAATCTTCATTGCATGCTTGGATGAATACTTTGAAAATCTTCTAAGTGTTGGTCTGTCCAGAGCATCGATGAGAATGCTTCTTTCCATCGCATCGTCCATCGATCCTCTGGTTGAACTTCGTCCATCGGTCCAATGTTCATCGATCATCTGGTTGGTCTTTCCATCGATCCAATGGTCCAACTTCGTCCATCGGTTCTCTGGTTGTTCTTTCCATCGATCCAATGGTCGAATCCAGACTTGGTCGTTTCTGCCTTGATGTCTTCATTGGTCTTCTGGTTCTTCATCACTTGTTTGTTTTTCATTACTTTTTACATTTTGCATTGTGAGGTTTAACAATCCTACACCGTAGGAGTATAACATTTGTTAGACACTAAAGCTATTTATAGCCTTCTCCTATTACCTCAGGTTTTGAAAGTCAATACATTTTTATACACAAAATTAGTTGTCAATTAATTTTAATGTAATCATCAAATGAAATATTAAACACCTGAAACAAATAATAGACTATAATGCTAATAAGACACCTTTGTACTTTCACATCGGTTTTGGTCTTAATTTCCCGTTACACCCCAAGCTAAGGCGTTTAGCCCATCATCGCTCGGTTTCTTCTCTCGAAGGATGTAAGGACTAAAAAATAAATAACTGATACGGAAAAGTAAATTGTAGAAAGTAAATTGCAGAAAGTAAATTACAAGAAATGGAAATATTGGAATTTAAAGTACTGGAAATTAAATGACAGAAATATAAATGACTGAAAATAAATTGCAGAAAAGTAAATTACAGAAAGGTAAATTACAGAAAAATAAATTGCAGTAAAATAAAATGCAGAAAAGTAAAGACTGAAATATAAATGACTGAAATATAAAGGACTGAAATTAAATTAATAATAACTAAATATTATTAAATAACATTAATCTAGGTAATGATGTAAAACAAGTACTTGATGAGATGGAGAAATGACGAATGAAAGAATTGAAAGAAGGGAAGTTTGACTTTGAGAAAGCTTGCAAGACAAGTAACAAAACTTGCAAAACAAGTTTCGTTACTAAGACCGAAAAAGTTACTTGCAAACTCTTAAAAACGGATTATTTAGTTTACGTAAATTAGTTGTGAGCCTCAAAGGATGAAATCCAATGTAAAGCAACAGAGATCAACTAATTCGTAACTTGCAACAAAAGTCAGAAAACGTAACGTAACTTGGAAATAAGAACAGAAATAAGAAGAAGATTAAATACGAGCACTTGTATTAAACTTGAAAGAGCAATCACAAATTCACTTCACAAAAATCGGTTCTTGATTGGAAACAAGAAAACCGAAAGCATGAACCGAAAGCAATAATCTAGAGAGCAAATATTTATAACTCAAAGATTTGAGAATAAACAAATAAGAAATTAAGTAAAAGTGTTTTTAAACAAAGCCTTAAGCCTCTATTTATAGGCTAAGGGAGTTTGTACAATGGGAGCCACCTAATAAGACAAAAGACTTTTTAAAAATGGGCTTTGACCAGGCCCAAGGTCGTTGACCCAGCAGTTTCAAGGGAGCAGCCCAAAAATTCTCGGCCCAGGCAAAAGTGCAGCTCACAGACAAGTACTACAGGATTCTGCCACTCCTGCTCCTACAGGACTGCTGTAGGATTTAGCCCAAAAATCATCAAAAACCTGCATAAACAGGGAATTAACATTAGATATGTTATATTACTACTAATATATGAAAATGACATAAAAAGACTCAATTAAGACACTAATAGGCAAATAAAACAAGTGAAAATGTTAAGAAAATGATGTAATAAGGTTAATAAATTAACACTTATCAATGAGTTACTGTGCATACATGATAAGATGTTAAAATATGTGTGTGTGCATGTAGGATGATATGCATACATGAGGAAATATTATTAAAATAAGTATATGCAATCTTTGTGGCTAAGAAAGGATAGGTTTTAAAATAATAAAACTCCACCGCCCTAAAGAGTTGTATATTAATAAACCTCACCGCCTTGGTTTATATATATATATATATATATAAAAGATAAGATAAGATTAATCTTATCTTACTTTTTGGGTAAAGATCTTTGTGAAATAAGGAAAGTGTGTGTGAAGTGGCGGTGAAGGTGTTCATGAGAAGAAATTCTGCATAAAAGTGATTTGGAGATTATGTGAATATTTGAAGAAGTTGCTGCGTGATTAAAACATCAAATCTGTGCATATTAAGGTGAGTTTTTGATATTAAAATCCTTAAATGATGTTATTTGAAATACATTGTTTTGATGATTGATTTTGATGAAGATTGGTAAACTGTTTTAACAGTTGAAGTTGAGCTTTATAAATCTAGGATTTGGAAACTGTTCTTGGAAAATAAAGAAGATTTTGTTTCTTTAAAACAATGAGAATGATATCCTATTTTAAGGATTAAAGAATATTTGAGTTTGGAAAATGGTATTAAAAGAACTGTTGGTTCTTGAATTCCAAAGTTTGAGAATAAAACTGTTTGAAACCATTATTGGTTAAAAACTATAAAGGATATTCCTTCAATACGGTTGTGACTTCGGTCTGTCTTCGTTTGGAATTAATCTATAGATTTTAGTGGTTAAAACTATAGAGGATGTTCTTTCAAGACGGTTGTGACTTCGGTCTGTCTTCGTTTGGAACTAATCTATAGATTTTGTTGAGGAAATAAGAGTGGCATCTCAAGGAGAGGTGTACCATGATATAAGGGTGGTATATCAAGTAGAGGTGTACCTTCGGATATAAGGGTGACATATCAAGGAGAGGTGTACCTTTAGATATATAAGAGTGGTATTTGTATGTGTGATTGTTATTATAGCTCTTGCTATCTAATGAAAACTGGTTCTAATCCACAAGAGACAATTAGTTTGAAGAAACATATTGAAGAATTAACAACTAAACTACATAAGTCTGAACTGAAAGTTGATTTTTTGGAAAGAAGAAAAGAGAATTTTGCAAGAAAAGCTGAGCGATCTGATGAAAACTGGTTCTAATCCACAAGAGACAGTTAGTTTTAAGAAACAGATTGAAGAATTAACAACTAAACTGCATAAGTCTGAACTGAAAGTTGATTTTTGGAGAGGAATAAAGGTTTAGAAATTGAGA